GGGGGATTCTTTTTTGGTTCTTATTGCGTGGACGGGGTGTGAGGGATGAGTTGCGGGAGATGTGGGAGACACGGTTGAGGGCGTTCTCAATCACTGAGGGGGGGAAGTTACGGTCCTTGAAAAACAAGGACAACTGAGATGTAGGGGAGTGGAATGCCCCATTCTGGGATCAGATGCGGCAGAGACGAAGGAATTCGGAATAGGGGATGGCATTGACCCATTTCTTCTCTCAACCCAAATAAAGCAGTCATGTTCCTGGTTTCCTAACCCTTTGAATAAGGAAGGCACATATCAGCACTCATTTAGTACTTGCACCTCAGTAATTATGTTTAAATGAGACCTAACTGGTACCTAACTGGATAATGTTTCAGGCATTTGACCACTTCCATCAGGCAGATGGCAACTTTGTTCCACCCTCGTCCTGCCCAGACAAAGCAGTCACATGACATGCAACGTTGTTGCATCACAAACGAAAAGCCACATGCCTGTCACTGGGCTCCTTCCAGAATCATGTCTGCCCATTATTTAACCTAAACTTAAACTTCCAATGCGATAAAATTTAGTATTTGGCCTAAATTGATCATTCTAAAATTTTGGGGGGAGTTTAAACTTCCAGCTGGCAAGGATCCACGCACCTGTGTGGGAGGCCAGGTCCACTTTAATATCCTGAGATAGTAGGAACTGCAGATGCTGGAGAATCTGAGATGACAAGGTGTAGAGCTGGATGAACACAGCAGGCCAAGCAGCATTAGAGGAGCAGGAAGGCTGACGTTTCGGGCCTAGACCATTTCTGGAGAAGGGTCTAGGCCCGTAACGTCAGCCTTCCTGCTCCTCTGATGCTGCTTGGCCTGCTGTGTTCATCCAGCTCCACACCTTGTTATCTCAGATTCTCCAGCATCTGCAGTTCCTACTACCTCTATTTCTGTGTTTTGTGGTTTCTAATTATTCATGTAAAGCTTCTAAAGCTGAGTCGCTTACCTTTTTCTGAAATTATCTCCCATTCTTATGGCATATCATGTTGAAATATATGGACAGACAGCCACTTCTCTCTCATTCTAGGGGACCGCAATGAAACCAGTTGCATGTGGCTGTATAAATTTTCTGCTTAATGCACTTGGTCACTGTGAAAATTGCAGTGCTTATAGTATTAACAATTGTTTGGAGTAATCTGAGTGCCTGAGGGCTGAAGTAATTCAAAATAATGTCAAACTGTCATGAATAAAATCATCAAGCGAATTCCTTTCACTTATGTGTTTTAAAGAAGTGTACTGTGGCCATTCACGTGAGGTTTTTGTTTAGCAGTGGTTTGCCTCTGTGGTTGCTGTGCTCGGGTGGTCTAACTGTAACCATTACCAACATACTGTGTGTTCATCAGCAAACCCCCCCCCCCCAATTGCTGGGACTACTTGATTACCCCCCCGAATCCTGCACTAGCACCCATCATCTCTCATCCATCGCGTGCTCCTACTTACACACATCTAGATTTTTATTTAATCCCTCATTTACAATTTCCTCTTTATCTTTCCATTCTGGCCTTTTCTGCTTGTCACTTATTCATGCTATGAACACTCAACAATGACCTTAGAATCAGACTCCAACATGAAGTAATTGAAATCTTGTCATGTCAAAATGTCAGTGATTGTGGTGTTCCTGCTGATGATAGGAAATGCATCACATGATATTTCCTCATCTGTATATGTGCATCTATGTTAATGTTCTGTAGCAGCAGGGGTGGGGGGTAGGGAAGTTCTGAATGTGACAGTGAATGTGTTGTGAGCAGAAAGTCTCTCTGTTCAATCATCCATCCTGATCTACAGTGGTTAACTCAATTTTGTATAGCTCTAATACAAGAACAATAATTCTCAAACTTATATTGCTGTAAAGAGAGACATGTGGCCAAAGCTTTTCCTCTTGCATTGATTAGGATAAAAGCAAGAATGTCAATTTCAAACAAACGCAGAAAAAAACGTGTTGATTGGTTGGCAAGTCTCCAGCAGTATAAACCGTTGTGATCATTTGTAATTTAGCATTTTTCCTTTTGTCCTGAACAATGCAATGGCAAAAGCTTTGACAATGATATTTAGGTCTGTACTCGCAAGCAACTATTCATATTTGTGTCGCGCTACTAACACAAGATGCTTTACAGAGAAGCGAGGAAAAGAATTGACCCTGAACCAAAGAAAAATATATAAGGGCACTATATAAAAGGTACTCTTAAAGGAGAAGAGAGAGGTGGAAAGGAGGGAATTTTGGGAGGAAATTCCAGAACTTGGAATAACATTGGCCAGGGTCATAACTATCAATGGAGGTAAGGCAAAATTGGCTGTAAAGGGGCCAGAGCCTGAAGAATGCAGAATTCAGGAAGAGGCCATTATAGGAATGAGGATGAAGTCATGGATCCAAGCACAAATAAGGATATTTGAATTTTTTTACAATGGGTATGAGAAACCAGTGATTTTGGTGAACTTGGTATAGTGAGCAATTTAATTTAATAAAAGGCAGAATATTGCAGCTGGGATTAGACTAGTTAGGTGGTTGCTTTTGACCAGTACAGATGTGATGGGCCAAAAGACCTTTTCCTGTGCTGCAGACTTCTATGACTCTATGAGATTGAGATGGGCTGAAGTTTATAGAGGGCATACTGAATCGAAAAGATTGGAATAGTTAAATGTGGAGATCCAAAAGGCATGAGTGAGAGTTTCAGTGGTAGATGAGTTGAGATAAGTAGTGCTGTGGGTAATCTAATGGAAACAGAATAGTTTTGGAACTTTTGCATTCCTGATAGCAATGCTCCTAAAGTGGTGAGCCCACTGTTTCCCAAAAAGGTGACCTTGAGTTATTTTCTGAGATTGCTTTAATTACGTCTTCACAGAGGAATCTAGTCCCATCTGTAACTGTTTAAGACGGTCTACAATCATCAATTGGAGGGGACAGGTAGAAAATTGTATTCAACAGTGCACTTAAAATACTAGTTCAGCCAGAAGGCTAATGAAAGAAAGGGTTAACTGCTTTACATCTAATGTGTCCCACAGTGAATTCCACATGTTATTCAGCATCAGCCAATGATGCTACTTATAAAGAACCAAAACATTTAGCAGCAGTTAAGAAAGTTCATTATTTCAAGCAATTTGTTATGGTGAGGCTAACTGGAATATGACTATACCAAGTAGATGGCTAAATTGTGCATGCCACAATGAGTTTCTTCTTATCCTGTTAAGCTGTGACTGACACTGCAGTCAAAGCCTTCAAGGAAC